ATATTTATTGATGAGTTTAGAAATTCATAGTGTAAGTAGATATCATCTTTAAAGAAATCAAAAATAATGTCATTGCGTATAATAAAATTTATGATAATAAATTATACGTAAAAAATTCCACGAATAGTGTTTTTAAATTATTAAAATATTTGAAATTAAAATATCTATAAAAAAAAAAATCGTCTTCGCATCATGCATATTTTTTAAATTTTATAGCTTCAGTATTAATTACTAATGAAGTATTTTGTATTAAATTTTCAAAACTTTGATATAAAACGAAGTGTTAATGAATTTATTACTACAAAATAATTATTTACGATTTTGACGAATTTCATTAAGATTTTAGCTTTAAATGTATTTTTAAAAAAAATTCATCCATATATTTTTTTTTTTTTTTTTTTGTTAAAATATAACAAAATATAAAAATCGTATTTTTTTTTATTATATTTTACAAAATCTAAAATGATTTGGCGCACAGATTTTAAAATCAGTCATAACGAAAATTATAAGCACCTGTTCATAATATATTTATCACATATGTCAATTAGAACCATAACTAATATAACCCACCTAAGTACATCACTCCATGCTTCCGTAGGTATTATTCTATATTATATTGTGTTACGACTTCGTGTAGCGACGTAATACTGCGTGTTCATCGCAAACTGTCAAGAATAATATAACTTTATAATACATAATATTAATATAATTACGGAAATTATGATTTTTATGCCCTGGCGATTTTGAAGTCGTCCGGTTATACGTAGGTGTTCGGTACAGCGGTGAATGTGAACGATAATAACAACTGCGCATGATGTATACCTAGGCAACAGGTGCTTATAATTATTAAAACATAATAATCATAACACTATAATTATAACAATAATATGGTCGTTATGTACTTGCCGTGAATGTTATCACTATATGATATCCTATACGGCTATACACCGTTTTGATGACGTAAAAACGTGTGTTCAATCCGTGAACTGGAATGTAATATTATATATTACGTTTGTTTACTCGCCACACGCATTGTCTTCAGAGTGTATATCCGTCCGTCAGATAACTATACATTTAATAAAATAATGTACTATGTACTTATACTGTTTTATAAGTATACAGAAGCACTCCAAATAGAGATAGATCTATAAATAACGGAGGTGCCTGCACACAAAATATGCACTAGTAGACATAGGCGAAACTACGGGTCAAGCCAGTCAGACCATACCGTGATCTCCTAATGCTAACTAAAAATATGTATGTTTGATATATTTTAATAATTATTTAGGCATTATAAATAATATATTTATACAGTAAACGTATACATTAGTACGTTTTGTAATTTATATAATACTTTAATGAGTTTAATGTAATAAAGTATATAGGTACAAATGAGGATTATAATATAATAAAGTGATTTTTTTTTTTTAAATGCCTAATAGTATATTTTATTTAAAATTAAAAACTTTATTTTTTGCGTCTAAAATTTATGAAATTTCCGTTTAAATATTACGTACCTATTGCACGATTATTATACCACTTGTACCTATTACTAATTAGAAGTAAACGAATATATTGTAGAATTGATATGATTTCTTAAATTCAATTATACACACTACACAATGAACGTAATATTAAAATTTATTTTTGACATTGATTATAAAAATATGGAGTCAAATAATCTATTCTGTGTAATCAAATAATCGGTTTTATAACTTATTTTTTAATTTAGACATTTGACGTTTATTTTAAAATTAAAGCAAGTGATAGTTAATTTTATGCAACATTGAAACAATGTCAGTAATGTTTGTTACGTAGTTATATATCCGTAGTAAATTATTGTCAATTATACGTACTCTAATATTTTTATATTATTTCTTTTATTATAATTCATATTTTTATCATTGACCGATGACGGCGATTGTTCACAAAATTCTTATGTTTAACATTACAAAATCATAGAGAGGTAATAATTAATTAGAATATTTTTTTTTTTTATATAGATAGAGGATAAGTCAAATATTTTAATTATTGTTTAAAAATATAATACCATATTATTGGTATATGTGTATACATTAGTATACATCACCAAATCATTTATTTATTATTAAACCCCGTTAGTCGCATCGCTGCTAACAGACTGGGCATTTCTAATTTTTCAAATTACTCATTGTAAATAATTTATATTATTTCGTGTACTATTTTATACCTTTAATGTCCAAATCAAGCCATCATTTAATGCTATTAAAATCGATCATCTATTATTTGTTGAATTTATAGGTATTTTTAAAGTCACAAACCTGTCAAAAAGACCATGTGTGACTAAACTCGGAATTAACTTTGTTTAATATTATTTTCGCCAGTGATTATTTTTTTAGATCGCTGTTTGTTCATATAATTTCATTGAAAAATTCAATATTTTCGTCATATTTATTTTATATTCAACACGTGGTACAGGACAAGTAATATGTGTAAATTGTCAAAATTTAAATGAAAACAATTTGGAATAATTTTAAAACTACCTATAGAAATATAATCTTTCATTAAAAAAATTCATATATTATTTGTATTTTTTTTTTAACATTTTATAATCATGGATATTTTAATAATAATAATAATTTAAATAGTAAAAATAATAAATTAATTAACTATAATTTGTTTATATTTTTAATAAATGTTATTGAAGAGTTTAAAAAATTGGTACAATTTAATCGTCGTCTATTATTATAAATGTATTAATTATTATAATTTTTTATTTATTATTAAATATTTAAATTGTATATATATTATATATAGTATATACATTTAACAAAATTACTATATAAAGTTGTTAATAGAAGTTTTTTTATATTTTTCATTTGGTCTACCCTAATAAAAGTGTCTAGTTTCGCTCGCCTATGCTCGTAAAAGATAAATATTAGGTATTTAAATTCTCGTACTCTTGTAAAATATTAAACAGGTCCTAAAATTATATGCGAAAATTGCAAAATAAAAATTTCAAAATTAAATTCATCATTACCTATAGGATTCTGGATTTAGTGTTTAAGAAAGCTATGTTTTACACTTATAAACGGTATATACTTATGTATTATATATGATAAGTATAGGCACTGTTAAATAAAATACTACATAGGGAGAATCTAATTATTTACTGTCATATTAAATTTTTAATCCGATTATTGTTAATCAATAAAATACATTTCTGTTAATTATGTTATGCAATCAAGAAAATTTATTTTGTTTTTATGTAGATACTCATGTGATTGTTACATTTATACGCTAAGCTATTAAGATATTTCATATTATATATATAGTTCCAAAACAATACTAGACAAAAACGTATTTCTACATAAAAAAAAATTTTGGCTGAAATATAAATCAAACCTTTTTTATTGTTGGCAGAAATGGCCTATGCATAAATCAAGAATAAAAAGAAAAATTATACACCAATAGTATTATTTTAGTTTTGAAAAAAAAACCATTTAAAATTGTCATGATATTATAATCACTAATAAAAATCTATTTTTATTTGGTATTTTTTACATTATATAATATACATGCTTTATTTTTGACTCGGTAAAACGAAAGATATAAAAGATAATGTGCATAATTATATAGGCCATAGGCGTATATTTGGCTGCACGTGACGAAAATTTCGTGTGTCAATCCATTGTGAAGCAACCTACACTACTTTTTAATGGTATGTAAAAACATAATGTGTAATAAAAATAATGTGTAATCTATTTGTTTTTTTATTTTTAGGATGATAATTGTTTAGGCTAAATGTTTATCAACGCTGTTAATCTATTCGTAGAGTATGATGCATTGTTAAACTAATTATATTTTAGTTAAATACGTTCAATAATAACCATTTTATTAAAATAATTTTATTTTTGTAAATTCAATAATATAATAATATATACATTAATAATAAACAATGTATTTGATAAAATTAACAAAATTCTATGTTACTTTAACAAAATTTCGATAAAATATATCTAAACAAAAAAATTATTAAATCAAATAATTTGTTAATTTTTATTTTAACAAATATATCTCATCTTAATATCAATTAACATTTTGTTGACCCAATACTAACAATGATATTATAAATTGAATCTATATTTTTGTTAAAATTATCGATATTTTTCGTTCAGTGTACACATTTATTTAATTTATTTGAACTAAAAAGTAAAGAATACAATACATTAAATATTAATTTCGTGTATTATTTTTTTTTTAATTCGTTTTGCTCGGGGCCCAGCGATTTGTAAGCTTGCCGGCCCTAAAGTACTACGACAGGTTGGGCGAAGGGCGTTCTTCCGAAGACTTGCAGTCCCCGGTACCCAAACTGAGGAGGACGTTTTTCACGAGTTCAGCAACTGGTATAAACAATTTTGGGTTGGAAAAACCGCTTACGTTCAAACTCACTCCCCTAACAGTTATGATACCCGTATAGGATTCGTCAAGTCAACTGTCCATTTTGTTCCATTTTCCCACTGACCGTTGGAATGGAACGCCTGCGAAGTTGTGAGGTCACCCGGCGAGGGAGGTATGTACTTATAATGTCGTCATAATATTATCGTATTGTGTTCGCGGCGGCGAGGCGGATGTACCTAGTTAATTAATTTTTCCGCCGCGCGCGGCGTAACGTGATGGACCGCGTACGGCGGATTCCGTCCACGTGGCTCACGACACGAATGTATAATATTGTAGCCGTCATAGACGAGTAACAACCGACTGTAACGATATCATATTAACGACACGATAATAATGTTACGTTACGTAGCGGTGGACTTTAAGTTTGCCGCCACGGCGTGTGCCCGCCGTCGTCTCGTCTGCGGAAAAAGAAATGTCTTTTCCGGTCCGGTTACGTCGACGCGTAGGCGCCTCTACCTTGATAATATTATAGCAGTGCGCACGGACGGGGATTCGCATTGACGGCGGTCGTATAAATTGTACGCCGAGCCGATGACCGCCGTCAGAGACTACCACGACGACCTGCGTACAGTTGCAGCTGCAGTCGAAGTCGACCGGACCACAGGCGTAGGTACGCGTGATACTTAGTAATTATTACCAATATATACCTGCAGTAAGCGTTGCACGAGTAACGGACGATTATTGTTAATCGCGGTGCCAAGCCGGAATAAGACGTGAATAATATTATTATCATAAAATAATATTATTCGGAAAGAACGCGCCCGCTCACAGGAGACGTCGTCATGGCTGCCGAGGTGAGTAGGAACCGGGTGTAGACCTATGATTTATGAACGTACAATAACAATATAATAATATATTATGCTGCAGACACCTCTATCAGAAGAACTGCATGTATCTTAAAAGCATTTTAATGGTATTTTAATTGCCTGCCCGAATAAAGTCAATAATAATAGTTGACTTACTATAGGTTATTAAGTTCAATTGTTTTTATCTAGCCATGTTTAATTAGACAATAGACAGTTTAAAAAATAAAAGCCGGGCACATTGTGATATCAAAAATAATATATTCGTATTGAACACTTCTGGCTATTGCAGGCAACAAGAATTAAAATATTTAAGAAACACATTTAAATTTCTTATTGTGTTGGTATTTTATTCATTTCAGTCACCGTATTATATATTTTAATATTTGATTTTGTGTAAATAAACGTAAATTAGATTTTATTGAAAATAACTTGTTGCGTTTATTAATTGAGTTAACACAATTAAACGCAAAATGTTAAATTTATCAAGAGTTGAAACTAATTTAAATTTCTTTACTCGTTTTTACTCTAACCCAACATTAGACCTTGATGCATTTTTTTGTCGTTTTTCGTATTGTGTAATTTGTTGGACTTTAGTTAAATCAAAATTTGTTTTTTATTTTTAAATTACTCAAGGAATTTATAATATAATATAGATATTAGCTTAAATATTGTTATCAAAATCCATAAGTAAATAATGGGCATTAACTGAGTAAATTTCTAGATAAACTTAATAACTTCAATAGTTTAAGTATCCGTGGTAACGTAACACAGCTTTTTCATGTGTTTTGTAACGCTTATTAAGTTTATATAGAGTTTGGAAACTTTACTTGAAAATTTAATTCCTTTATACTCACGTTCAATGCGTAAAATTTAAGTCGTTTACGTAAATTCTTTTTATAGAAATATAAAAGTAAAGTTAATATTCTTAAAAAATGAACTCGTTCAACTGGACATTTCTTTTAATTATTATTTTATTAATTTTTAAACACAACTTTAAAATGCAATTAATTACATTTAAAGATGTTGATCTTACCTATAGGCCCAGACTGGGCCACTGTGCTACTGTTCTATAGCACAGTGGGCCTCAATTTGTAATAAATTACTTGAGTTTTTTTAAACAATTAATAAGCAACAAAAAAAAAAAAAAAGTCTTTTTTATATTATATCTATTGACCGTCTGCCTAATGATAATAGTAGGCCGTTATCCTCCCAGTCTGGGCCTGATTACCTATAATGATTAATTCTCATAGACGATTAGATAATCTATAATCTATATAATAATATTAATTAAAAAAGTTGAAATTGTCTCTTTTCTCTATATACCAATTCATATAGGTACTTAATTATTATGTTTTAAAAAATGTATTAAATTACCTACACGATATTATATAATTTATACACAAGCATTAATGTGCATAAAATAAATACAAAATAAGTGTTTTATTATGGTTTATAACTTTATAAGAAATTATTTTAATTCATACATAAATCAGTACCTGATACTACTTATTAAAATATAGTAAATAAAAGAAAGTAACTAGTTATGTAATTACCTATTAATAATTATGAAAAATAAAAATAAATATTGTTAAATATACAAATTATTATTTATTTTGAACTTACAACTACTCTTTATTATAGGTAGCCACATTTATTTATCTGTTGTTCAATTTTAGCAATGTGTACAATTCGTTTTTAGAAATTTATAAGTATTAAATATTTCAAAAAAATCTTAAACATAATCTTTTTATAATAATGATGGGCTAGATATTCAAATAATTGACAACTGTGGTACAAATATTTATTATCCACCTTCGACTTTTGAGCTATCTTAAATATATTTTAAGTATAGCTGCTAATAGTAATACTATACAATAACAAGATCCAATAATGTTTTTGTTAATTGATAAATTTTATGTTTGACTGTTTGAGTTGTATTGAATGAAGAAGAAATCGCTTTAACCGTTTTCTCTTTCCTTCTCTGGGTCGACTATATTTACCTCATAGGCACATTGTCATAATTGATAAGCAGAGCTCGAGACTTCAAGCATTTACTTATTTTTATGGATTGATTTAAAATGTAGCATAGTTGTATAGAAGTGTATGTCATATTATAACACGTTCAATCATGAAATTTTAAAGTGCTTTTTTTTTGCTTTTTTCAACGATTTTTCAAAAAGATGATTATATCTAGTTTTTCTAATTATTTTTGCTTTTTTAACCAGTTTTTCTACTTTTTATGATTTTTTTTTCCTGCAATGTTGTTTATGATAAAATAAACAATTAGGTAAAATTTCTCGAAAGTAAAGTTTGATTTTTTCATAATACAAAGACTTATTTATTTTTTAGTTAAAAACTTTTCCTAATCATTTTGTTTCGATATTTTTTGTAATCTTTAATTATATTATTTTTAGCAAAGTTACAAATTATATCTAGTACTCTAGTACCTATTTTATCATGTAAAAAGAAAGTTTTTTTTTTATTAATATTTTTACGAGAATTACGAGAATTAAGGTTTTTAAATACTTATTTGAGTGCTTATAATGATGATTTTAAGCACTAATTTTAATGATTTTAATTACTTTAAGTCCCGGGAGCCCTGCTCATAAAAATAATTTTTATAAAAATAAAAATCTATATACTTATCCATATAACTAACGATTGTATACAACTCAAACGGTAAATCGTTCCCAGGCCGTGTTCTTTTTTTTTGAATTCTTACCACAAAAACTCGGTTGTTTAGGGATCTATAGTGTGTACGCCATATCGCCCAAATCTCTTGGTCACGGTATAATCCTTTTATTGTTATTCTTATTATTACTTATTATCGTATAACTTATATTCTGATATTGATTATTATATTATTATTTGCACTTTCGGTGATTGCGCTGTCCGGTTTCTGTCACAGAACACGGTACCTATCTGTTGAAATTTGTCACAGAACACGGGACCGGATTAATGTGACCGCCGAAAAGGCACCTATAAAAGGCCACGCGAACAACGAACGAACACCCATTCCTTTACCAGCATTGTAGTAAGACCTACCCAGGCAGACTTACGCATTGTTGGTAAAGGACTTCCCCGCCTTTACGGATCTTATTGGACTGTTGTGGTGCGCGTCCAGTGGTTCAATAGTTGGAGTATTCCGGCATTGAATCGGCCGCCCACAGTCAATGAGGCAATAGTCAAAGCTATTCAGGCATTGTCTCGACTATTAAACAGTCCAACTTGATTCCTCCGTTGTCTCCCGTCAGTGCGATCATCGTTGTGTTTAAGCTCGGACAGTGCATTCGTCGTTTATGCGTTTCTTTTTATTTTAATATATACAATAACTTATCATCGTAACGTTTATAATTGTAAGTTACATGTTTTTTATTGTGTTTCGTCATTGCGACATTTTATTAAAATATTGTCATTAAGACAACTAAACCAAAAACGTAAATTGTTATACTTTGTCATTGCGACACCATAACCCTTTCTTAAATCTGCGACGTAGGACTCGGGCATGGTCGCACGAATCCGTTCTGTGTTCGTCGTCAAATTGCTACAGGGTTTCCCTTTTTTGACTCGACCCCACCAAAAATAACGATAGACTAATTTCGTGTTTTTCTGACCTCTACAGCTGTTCTATGTAGCGATGGCGGCCATGTGCTGCGTGATGACTTCAGGCAGGCCGTCAGCGACGCCATTTCTCTACGCTCCGCCGCCGTCCCCGTTGGAAGTCACAACGATCGCATCGGAAGCGCCTCCTGGATACGACTTTGACCAACCTCACGTCGACATTCATCATTATCAACAGCAGCAACCGATCAAACACGACGACCACTCCGGTCATCGCGTGGACGAGCAGCTGCAGCCGGCCGTGGACGTTCCGCCAGCAGTCGGGTCGTCGTATCACTTCGCGTACGCCGTGGAAGACCCGCTGACCGGGGACGTGAAAAGCCAGAACGAAGTGAGTGACGGCCGTGGCACGGTCAAGGGCACGTACAGCCTGGTTGAACCAGATGGTTCCATCCGGGTGGTCGAGTACTCGGCCGACGACGAACACGGGTTCAACGCCGAAGTGAAGAGGATCGAGCCGCAACACAGGTACGCAGCGACGTCCGTCGACTCGTTCGAAAGTCGACCGTCGTCCGACTTGGGAGTCGGTCAACATGTCGGCCGTGACGGCGGCGACTCGTCGGTGGAGATAATACAGTCCACCAACCAACAGAACATGCACTTTTATCTACCCGAACAGTACGTCATCACGTCGGTGCGACGTTGATATTTTTTTGTTTTCTGTTTCGGGTCGCGATCGATTCCTCAGAAGTTAAGTGCCGTGACCGTATTGTGTACATAAATATTAATAGGGAATATGATATTATTAATACACGACAATTATTATATTAATAATAATTAGCGTAAATTTTATTTTGGTTTCTAGTTGTACCGTCACAAATCGCGAGCACATTCTCTGCATTAAATTGGGTAGAAAACTTTGCGGCAAGACTTGAATACCTATATTTATTTTAAAATTATTTTAAGCCCCGGGTATGTACTTTAACAACAATTATATAGGTAGGTACTCACTTATATATAGACCATATAACCATATAAGACTTTGAAACTCCTCCTTTTATACATATAAATATATATATATATGTGAAAATGGAAATATTTGTCACGCATGTTGTCTGATAATCTTGATTTTTTCTTTTTTTACGCGTTAGTAGGTACATTCGTGAAGCAGATTTTTAACCGGTTTCCGGTTCCATGAGTTAATGAAAAATGTAATTATTAATTATTTTATATATCATATGAATCATATAAAATATATCATCTATAAAACCTTTATTATTATTATATTATATAGTGTACCTATACCATGAATTAAAATTTTATAAATTATGACACAATCATAACCTGACCATACTAATAAGCCAAAATCATAATAAGGTCCTTAAGAAAAATCTCGGATTTATTTCTTCAATCAAATAATAAAATGATAGATATTCAAAAATAATTATATTTTAAATTAGGTATCTTAAATGTCTCCAAAAACAAATATCAGTGAAAAAAAAAATGATATGCAGTTATTCATATACATGAATATAGAATTAGAAAAAATCTTTGATGTATTTTAGTTGAAACTAAAAAATAACTCTCGGTCTTAGGTAACTATGCTTTAGTGACGTTCATGAAGTATGAATTTATCCAAGTATCTTTATTTTATTATGTGTGAATGAATCAAAACATGATAAATTTTGTATATTATATTGTAATTTGAGATCATAAACATCTACCATTATAATTTGTTTATCAAGGTATTTATAGATTATGAATAGCAATGTTTCATTATTTAATATAATAAATAATATTATTATTACACATTTTTTTTTATTATTATTATTTAATTATGTTTATTTATTTAATGTTCTGACTTGTCAAAATTACATCCAATCACCAAGAGCCAGTTTTTGACAAGACATATTATGATTGACCAATGGTTAAATATTTTATAAGGTCTGCATGTGTTATTTTAATCAATTAATTTAAGTCAACAGAGAAAAAGGGTATTAAAATGGGTACTTTTTCTGTTGTACAGTAGGTGTCAAGTAGGTCACTGTAATATAAATGTGTTAAAAAAAATAATTCAATGAAATATCATTTTATATTTTGTATGTACTATGTGTATATAGATACAAGTAAAGGTTCTGAGAGGATTGCTATGGAAGTAATTTATTTTACTATTATAAGGTTACCTACAGATGGATGATTTAATTTTTGCTGAATACATTAATTTATTAAATTAAATTATATTTAATTCTCTATTATTATTAACTTTTGAATTAATATCATTTTATAGTAAAACTTGCAAATATATTCATGATATAAATAGGTAATATTTTTAAATGGATATAATAAAAATTTATGAATTATGAGCAAATTTATATCTATTATATTTTCAAGCAATTTTTTATCGACATTCATAAAAAAAATATTGAAAATATCTATAAAGAGCTAATAAGAAGTCAAAATATTTTGAAAATGTTATCAAGTAGATAAAATTTATATTTAAACATCAAAAATAATTATTTTTGAATTACAACATTAATTAAGTAATTATTCATATTTGATGTGATAAATTGTAAATTTTTATTTATTACAAATAGAGTGACATAATAAAGATCTTAAAAATGGGCTTAAGTAGAAATTTTGATTTGCCAAATGAAAGTTATATATTTTGTTTGTCTATAAAAGTACTAAGTAGTTAAAATGAATAAAATTGTAGAAAATGAAACAGTTATTACTCATTATGTAATTACAATTAGATAAAATTTTAGATCATCAATTAAATTTGGCCAAAACTACCAATGTTAAACGAAGGGGTACGTTAAACAAAGTTCAAGACAAGTTAAGTTTACTAACATTAATTTTCTCAGGAAATACTATATATAGGATCATCAGCTATAATTAATAGATAAATATACTAGATATATAAAATCAAAGATCTTGACTATAGAAGATGACTCTAATACAAATTTATTTTCATAAAATGTTATCAATAGATTCAGCAAGATAAGTAATTTTATAAGGTTCTTTTTTTCTAGGTACTTTTTACTTAGTGACATTTAATATTGAATATAAAAGACTCGTGTAAAAACATTTCGTTTTTATTTTAGAATCAGAGCAGAACCATAAATATATTGATTTAAAAATGACCTGTTGTTTAGAGAAGTTTGAATAAAACAATTGAAAAAGAAATAAACTAAAATGTTTACGCAAATAAAGTTTTCAACAAAATAAAGCTATTTGTAAACATTTAAATTTTTTTATTTTTTTTTATTTTCTTTAAAAATGTTGACAAAAAATTATACATCAGGTAAATGTTTGAATCTATATTGTCACAATATTTTGTTATAAGCGTTTAAAATAATTCGGAAAATCTTGAACATTTTTATGTTATTTTGTATTGGAAATTTAAAAAAAAAATTGTTTTTATCTAAAATTTGAAATTTCATACAAAGTTTTTTATAAGTTTTTAAATTTATACAAAAAATAAATAACTATCATAAAGTCAAATTAGTATTTTATGAACATTTGAAATTCAAATTTTTACAATTTCGGACATTCACTATTAAAATTATTATTACTCATCAAACGTTTATTAAAAACAAATAATCCAATTTTTATTTTATCATTTAGTATGCGTGATAACATTAAAATGTTATTGAAGTTTTAAATATTTTTTTTAGTGTTATTTATATGAATAGCAATCTTTTTGATCAATCAAAAAGCTTTAAAATTTAATACAAGTTTACACATAAATTGTTTTTTAAGTTTATACGTACCTAAAAATATTTAAAATACTTATCATAAGCATGTTTAAATTTTAAAAAATTTCGTCAAAATCATGAAAATTTACAAATCGTTTTATAATTTTTTTTTTTTTTGATAAAAATGTACAGTTTTTATAACTAAAGCTTGAAAATGTAAAACAAAATTCCTCATAAGTTGTTCATACTGAAACCAAAATACATAAAATACATATAATTTTCTTTTTTATATAGATATCCTAATTTAAAATTTGGACGAAATAACCATATTTGTTGTTTTTTAAAAACATTATTCCTGGAGATATTATTATCTTTACGTATATTATTATATTTTCAAATGCAATGTTTTTAGTAAACAATAATTCAGCCTTTTGTATTACTAACAGTAAAATAAATTACTTTACCTAATAGCAGTTTCACAAAATATAACATCCATCAAAAAGACCCACTCGACACCTATACCGTACAATAGAGCGGTACCCACTTGGCTACATTTATTTTCATATTGTTGCTATATTGTTTACAAAAAATAAAATACTTATTGTAATAGGATATAATTTTAGACCTTTATTTTTTAATAATGCAAAAATAAAAGAAATAGAAAAATTTCAAAAAAAAAATCAAATGATCAAGTACACTGAATAATAAAATTTGTGAACAAACTATAATATTAATGTAAAATATATAAATAATTATACACCTTACTTGGCTTGCAGCTATTTATATAGATTATGCTGTAGTATAGTAAGGTTACACAAATTAATAACTCTAAGCACACGAATATAAAACTGATTTTGCTCGTTAAAAAGAGGTCCATTTGGGGCTTGCAGGATCTGTCGTCAAAAGGTATTGCTGATATAGTCGGTACGTACACACTGACAAAAAATACGACTAAATCATGTTGACTCGAGTGGCTGGCGACTTTATTAAAAGTCTTTACGTTCCTATAAAACTAACCTTTTCTTTCCAGCAAAAATCCTTAATCGGTCGTCCCTTGTCTTTTTTGACACATAAGTCAAACGTCTTGCGCTTCATTGTTACAAATATGTGTCAGTTTTTATGACGTGACTTTACAATACGAATCGTCTCTCATTAGTGACTCATATTACTTATTAGGGATTGCTGTTAACTCCGCGCAAAAACCTGACGGTTATTTATGTATTTTTTTTTTTTTTAAGCTGTTATACAATGATTATTGAGCATATTATTACAATTTCATAGTTGGTAAAAAAAAAAAAGATAAAAATAACTGTGTTAAAAATCTATTTGATTATTTAACAGAGTTTGGAAATGGATAAATCTGCAAGTCATCAGGCTCTGACACCTGGTCACTACTTAGTAGGAGTTGCACTACATACTAAAATAGTAGCATCACCTGCCGCTGATGTGAGCAAAATTCCTATTAACTGACTAAGTAGATAGTCAATTGTTCAGAAAGCTTAACAACTATTTTTGAAAAGCTGAAAGAACGGATATTTGTCTTCAACACAAGACAAGAGGAAGTGGCTTCAATTACCTATACGGATTAAGATTGTTAAACTGCAAGCTGCGCTGAAAAAATGAAAAAAAAAAATTCTCCTCCGCCCTCTTGGCGATTGGTAAGAGTTACGGCAATACATCCAGAACAATTTACTTTAAAATATAAATTGAAACGCGAGTAGAACGATTCACGGGCTTTGATAGTTTTTGAAGTTGACGATGATGCTAAGTCCACATTATTGAAGAATATGATAGGTACATCTCATCAATATACATCTTAACTAAGAACGAAACAAAAGTTTCTAATTTTTCATTTAATGAAACCATTATTGCAGTTAATGTGAATACATACACATTACCACATTCATTTAGATCTGTAAAAACTAATTCAAAATATAACAAAATCATTTCAAACTTCGCTAATTTCATCTCTGTACATTTAAAGCGACTTAGAAGAATTTACACATTTACTTTTTAATATTCCACATAACACAATTTTGAACCAATAGTGTATTTCCGCCCATTAAAAATAAAGCAATTTGATTTTTTTTCAATTATCACTCGAATAATAGGAACATATTATTATAATTACATAAACCTAACTCGTTAAATTAGATATGCAATATTCATATTTTTCAAATATGTAGCTTACTATTTTATATTATAATGTTGTACGCAATTATTTCATAAAAATAATTAATAAACATATATTAAAAAAAAAAAACATAATTCAGTGTTTAAAACACTTAACCATTTTATCAAACACATAAAATAAATAAAAAAATAACCCCCATAAACACGCTCTTGTATTTAATTAATGTATCAATCAGTAAGACAAAGTAGCAAACCATTAATTATTAAATTTACCATTCGTATTTATAAAAATAATCATATTTGTTTACATATATATATATATATATATATATATATATATATATATATATATTACAAAATAAATTGTTTAACTAAATACTTTTAAAAAAAAGTAGTGTAATGTGTGTTGTTACTATTGAAGAATCAATTGCTCATCCAGAAATAATTTCTAGTTTTAAATTATTATTCTCATCACTGAATACTACATTACATTAAAGCAATTTTTATTGATAAATAACCAATAAATAAAAAAATTTGAAAAAAGGGGTTATCTTTATTTACAAAATTCAAAAATCTAAAATATGAACATAAAAAGTATAGGTAAGTACATAAATCAAATAAATAAAAAAAAAAAATT